AAATTTAAATAGGTTTAAAGCCATAGTAGTATCTCAAAAGTTTTTTTGTTGAATTATATGTTTCACTATTACCTTCTTCAAGTTTTTACTGTAATTCGTCTTTTTAATTCTGTTAAAGTACCGTTACTGTGACAATTGCTACAATAATCCGAAAATAATAAGTTTCTCAGCATCTATCGTGAGCTAAACCTGTTCTAGTAAATTTTTCCAAAATCCTATTCTGTCAACGATACCGAGACCAGAAACTTGCCATAAAAATGCCTAACAATCACAAAAATGGCTAAAATGGCCTAATATCCCACACATCACCAGACATAGAACTCTACAGGAAAAATTTCATGCGAACACGAATTCAATAAACAATAAAAGCTATCAGAGAAACATCATTATCACAAGATTATGTTCACAATATCAAAGTAAGAGTAGTCTATCAGAATTAAATCACAATTACATAAGCAACAAGAATTAGTAATAGATCTGTATATAAATTAACAGAATAAACTTAAACTACCATTCACTTGGCTCTGATACCAGAAAGGGGGGAAGATCGTTGTATCTACAAAATAAAAAACTTTTATTAATTGTTTTAAGTGTGGAAAAGAGGGTTACATTGCCTCTAAATGTTTAACTAAACAATAGATAAATGAATTAATTAATGATGAAGACCTTAAAGAACAAATCTTTAAAATTGTTTTAAACTCCGAAAGTGAGTTAGAAGATAATTCTGATAATTTTTTTGAAGATTATAATATTAATGAAATTAGTAATTTTTCTTCAGAAACAGAATCTTTAAGACAAGATAAAACTTGTTATTCACATTGTAAAGTTGAAAATGATTATTATAAAGCTATTCTAGCTACGAATGAATTAAGTATAAATACTTTGATTAAGTTACAAAATTTTATTCTAGACCTTATCGATAAAATTCAAGATCCAGAATCCAAAAGAAAAGTTATTGAACAATTTTTAGAGATAAATACAGAATAAAAGAGACCTAATCTGTCTCAACCATATTCATTAAAAAAAGTCCTTAATAGAAGTGAAAAGGATATGAGTGATAGTCCACTCCATATAAAGGAAGCTTGGCCTACTACGGTTCAAAATATAAAGATAGAAATTAATGAAGTCAAAGAAGACATAAAAGTCTTAAAGTCTAGATTATTAATTTTAGAAAAAATTTTATCTAGAGAAAGTGACATACAAGATGATATAGTATCACCATCACTATCTAACTTTGATGATAAACCATCACCAAATAACAATATAAATATTTTAGAAAAAATAACTTATCAAAAATGGATTGTTAAAATTATTTTAGTTATAAATTTTGAGTTTACTATCGAAACTATTGCTCTAATTGACAGTGGAGTAGATATGAACTGCATAAAGGCAGGATTAATTCCTACTAAATATTTTGAAAAAATTACTCAGTTAGTCAGTGTCTGATGGGTCAAAATTAAATATAAATTTTAAACTCTCTAATATTTTTGTATGTAATCAAGGAATTTGTATTCCTACCACTTTTATGCTTATTGATAATTTAAATTAATTGGTGATCTTAGGAACACCATTTTTATCTTTAATTAAACCCATAGAAAGGATTGATTCTAACAGAATTTTGACGACCATAAATGGTCAACAAATATTATTTGAATTTATAATTCCACCTCAAATAAAATTGATAAATCAAATAAAAGAAAATCTGATTTATAAAAAAAATCAATTAAATTTTTCATTATATTCTAACATATTAAAAAGTGATGTTTATTTTGCAGGACAAGACCAAGAAGTTACAGAAATGAGTCCTAACCCAGATTTATTCTCTTTGGATCTTATTGTCAAATCACCAGAGCTTCTTGACTATTTTTGTGATTATGCAGAAAAAGATGTTTATAGCTTTTCCTCCACATGGAGTACTAATAATTGCAAAGTTTCATTTTTGGTGTCTCTATTGCAATGCTATGGAAGATCAATTAATTGATCATATACCTATCTTTTTATTAAGAATTGCAAGACGTCAAAAAAAATATTTAAAAGCAGGTTTAAAGTTCCATCTTATTCTTGAAATTAATGACTGGCACTATAATTGACATTATAAACAATGACTAGTGACTATAGTCCCAGAAGAATTTTGCCAAAAAATGATAAATAACTTGGTGGTATAACTGTTAGAACCCAAGTTTTGGCATATAAACATACATATTTCTCTGATGACTATAAAAATGCTTTTGATGCATATAGAAGTGCATATTATTTTAATTCATATAAGGATTCTCATTATTTTAATGCATATGAAAATGTTTATTATCCTCCACTCTCTATAAAGACATCATCACATAAATGTGATATGAATAATAACCCGTCAAAATAACTTAAAGTTGTTGCTTCTTTGTCAAATAAAGTTGACTATAAAGAAAAGTTGTAAGGAGATAAATCTCTCTCTACTATTCCAAAATTTTTAACTTTGCCTCCATATATGGAGCTTCATAATTTCATTAAAAGGATATATCCTTATATTAATGATCCATGTCAAATCAAGGACATTATTGATTCTAGACACATCAGGAAATATTTGGCCTAATTTTGAGAAAATTATCCGCTTGAGTTTAAAAATAAAATTATAGCGGAATGTTTTAAAAACATAGATAAAGGAGAAGATAAATCTTCAACAGATAAAACTTCATCTTCTACATCAATGGTTCCCTCTACTAGTATAAATACTCGAATTAATTTAAATCCTATTGAAGTTCTTAAAAAACTAATTAAAAACAAAAAATTCCACTTAAATCCTGAGCAGCTTAAAACAGTAGTTACGAAGGAATTCGNGTTTTAAAAACATAGATAAAGGAGAAGATAAATCTTCAACAGATAAAACTTCATCTTCTACATCAATGGTTCCCTCTACTAGTATAAATACTCGAATTAATTTAAATCCTATTGAAGTTCTTAAAAAATTAATTAAAAACGAAAAATTCCACTTAAATCCTGAGCAGCTTAAAACAGTAGTTACGAAGGAATTCGATTTTCAGATCATATCTACTTTTGGCATGAACAAAACTGAAAAGTTGAATCTCATTAACACTCATACAATTGCCATAAAAAGCAAAAGGAAAGATAAAGTTGAGGAAGAAAATAGGAAATCTTTTACTCCTATTAATTCTAACGACGACATTATGGATTCCCAAGAATATACCCTTCTTAAAGGTGACATTGAAATTAACAAAANAAAACTGAAAAGTTGAATCTCATTAACACTCATACAATTGCCATAAAAAGCAAAAGGGAAGATAAAGTTGAGGAAGAAAATAGGAATTCTCTTACTCCTATTAATTCTAACGACGACATTATGGATTCCCAAGAATATACCCCTCTTAAAGGTGACATTGAAATTAACAAAGATTTGTTAAATAATGATATGGAGATAAATCTACATGATGACAGAGATAATGTACTGTCTACTTTATTTTTCAGGAAATAATCAAATAAAATTGATTTCTCAGATAAAGCTGACCTGTAATAAGTGATGCACATCCTGACGTCACTACAACGACGTGATGTACGCCCTTACGTCACTATAAAGACTGTGAAAAGTGTACAATAAAAAGTGTACAATATTTATGACGTAGGCAATGACGTCATTGTAAATCATTAAAGTTAGGAATAATATAAAGTTGTAAGTAATATTTTTTATTTTGAAATCCGAATTTCATATCCGACTCTATATATAGGAATTCAGGCCCGATTTGTGGAGCACCGTCCCCAGACCACTCCTACACCTCCTTTCTATCTCACCCACTTTTCTACCAACTCCTTCATTTTGTCCCTCTTGTACTCTCGGTGAATCATTTTATTGTATAAACTCTTCTTCTTCTGCATCCTGGTCTACTACTGCAAGTAGACTCTACTCTTTAAATATACTTTTGAATTAATAAAAGTTCTTTATTTTGTAGATACAACGATCTTCCCCCTTTTCTGGTATCAGAGTCAAGTGAATGGTAGTTTAAGTTTGTTTTGTTGATTTATATGCAGATCTATTACTAATTATTGTTGCTTATATAATTATGATTTAATTCTGATAGACTACTCTTACTTTGATATTGTGAACATAATCTTGTGATAATGATGTTTCTCTGATAACTTTTATTGTTTGTTGAATTCGTGTTCACATGAAATTTTTTCTGTCCAGTTCTATGTATTTTATGTCGTAGTAACGATACTTTAACATAATTAAAAGACGAATTATAATAGTAACTTGAAGAAGATAATAGTGAAACATATAATTCAAAACAAAAATTTTTGAGATATTACTGTAGCTTTAAACCTATTTAAATTTAAACTTTATCACAAAAACCTCGTGCAACCCCGTTCACATTAAGCCAATCAACTTTCTAACCGGTCCCACTAATCACAACTCAAATGGCCATGAACTACTCTCATTTTAACCGACATACTGGGACCCACCTCACATGGGCTGCTTTACTAACCCTGTATGATGCAACGCTTCTGATTTCACTCCGTCAACCCCCTAGATAGCATCTCAACCGTCCACTCCTGGACCACACCCTTCAATACGGGCGGTTGGGCTTGTCTCTCCTTTGTCCCCTCATTGCTTAACAATGACTCAAACGTGCCGGTCATGTGACCAACATCCATAGCTGTCCATGCCCCACGAATAAACTTCATCTCCTACGCGCATTACTCTCGGNTTTGTCCCCTCATTGCTTAACAATGACTCAAACGTGCCGGTCATGTGACCAACATCCCTAGCTGTCCATGCCCCACGAATAAACTTCATCTCCTACGCGCATTACTCTCGTGTATATATTACGACAGCATGTGATTGCTTGAATACAGAGGTATGAGTTACAAAGTGCGTGACAATAGGGCAACCCTATGTTCTGAATTTCATGCACAAGGAGAATAAGTCACCTAGGTCTTGTCTCACCCTAACCATCCTATAAAATTCTTCTGTATCATAACCTCTCCTCCATAGCACAAAACTTTGAACCCTCTGTCGTAGTCGGAATTTACAGAAACTCACCGGAAACTTTGAAAATATATCTTGTGTACCCTATTAATAAGTTTGAAAGAAGGTGGTGGTATCAATCAGTTTGCACTTACAATTTCATTTGTTGTGGAGTTATCGCGAAGATTAATGGAAATGGCCAGGACGGTGACCTGCTATGAGAGTGATCTGAATCTTAAGGCAACAGAGCTAAGATTAGGGTTGCCAGGCACTGATGAGCCCGGAAAACAACCGTCTGCTGGTATTAAAAGCAACAAAAGAGCTTTTAATACAGTTGCTCTGCAACCAGATTCCGAAAAGGGTGACCAACACAGTTGCTCTGCAACCAAGTAAGTGAATCTTATTACTTATAGCTTTGACATGTTCATCGGTTTCCTTGGTATCTCCCATTGAGTAATAGTTGGAGAGTCTTCGAGTCGAACATGTCTTGAACACTACTGTATATTTACAAGTAGTTATAATTTTATTTATCCAAAAAAGACACGTTAATCGGTTGAACAAGGCATCCATATGTTATAGTAAAGCTCATGCATGAACTTATATCGGTTTATAATGAAATGGCAGGGCACAAGTAGTAGGGTGGCCACCTGTCCAATCCTACCGGAAAAATGTTTTCCAACCGAAGAAGGTGGAGGCTGAAACTGCCGGAATTTACGTGAAAGTGAGCATGGATGGAGCTCCTTATCTTAGAAAGATCGATATAAAGGTTTACAAAAGCTACCCAGATCTCCTCAGCGCCTTGGAAGACATGTTCAAGTGCACCATAGGTAAGAAACCAAGTCCTTTGTATTGTGACTTGTGATTGAATGATGGTGACGATGAAAGTGAAGATGTATATTCTTTTGGTGACATTCTTTTAATTATTTTATTCAATGGTTTGTATAGGTGTATACTCGGAGAGAGAAGGATATGATGGATCTGAATATGCACCAACTTATGAAGACAAAGATGGCGATTGGATGCTGGTCGGAGATGTTCCATGGGAGATGTTTATTTCCTCTTGCAAAAGGCTGAGAATCATGAAAGGTTCAGAAGCTAAAGGCTTGGGTTGTCTTTAGAAACCCTGATTTCACACAGCTCAAGCTCAATACATACACCAGATGGATCAAGAAAACATAGTCTTTCTCACAGGAAGAAAATCTTTCAGCTTAGAGGTCCTCAAGAGCAAGAGTCCAAGACGATCAGATTTAGGGCTGGTTTTGGGCCTTTTTGATATTTTTGGTTTTGTATCAACCCACACAATTGGATAGTACTGCATATATATCCTTCAGATCTTTCTGTACAGATGAAGTTTACTTAATTTCTAGTTTCTACATGTTTTCGGCTAGATAGTGTTATATAATAATGAAGATATATACATCAAGATACATTGCTTNTCAGATCTTTCTGTACAGATGAAGTTTACTTAATTTCTAGTTTCTACATGTTTTCGGATAGATAGTGTTATATAATAATGAAGATATATACATCAAGATACATTGCTTTGTATATATTTTATTTGCTGGGCTGATTATTTGGAACTGAAAAAATGCAAAAACCAAGGTTTTTTATTTTCAATCAAGTTTAGGTTCCCATGGTGTAAGAAAAATGGAAAATAAACCTAATTCAATATACTCTTTAGATTAAGAAAAAATTACATTCAAACTCTTTGAAATTTATCTCTTAATCACTTAAATTTCTTGACATTTAAAATATTACACATAGATCCCTAAAATTTGTACGCACTTAACATTTAGACATCTGTTGTCATTAATAAATTATATACATATTCCCTCAAGTTTATAGGTGTTTAAACACTTAAACCTCTCAAACTTAAAATATTACACTTAAAACTCTCAAANTTGAAATTTATCTCTTAATCACTTAAATTTCTTGACATTTAAAATATTACACATAGACCCCTAAAATTTGTACGCACTTAACATTTAGACATCTGTTGTCATTAATAGATTATATACATATTCCCTCAAGTTTATAGGTGTTTAAACACTTAAACATCTCAAACTTAAAATATTACACTTAAAACTCTCAAGTTTGAAATGTTACGGTTAAATCTCTCAAAGGTGAAACTTTGAGACAAATGAAACTACAGTTCGACATTTGTGAGAGACGCCTTTGAGAAACTTAATCCAACTTTGGTTTGATAGCCCTAGGCTTTAGATCGTATATGGATACGATTCAAACCTATGTAGATATCCAATTGCATAGGTATACAATATGGGCAAGGAAAGAGTTCTATCTACCTTTTCTATTTAAGAAGCTCGACTCATAATCGCAACATCTGTAGAAGATTCGTTATTTTAATTTATATTTGCTGAGGTAACTCTAGATACCTGTTGTGTCGTATTCTTTTCATTTTCAACCATTTTAAAATCCAGTTCCAAAAAAAAAAAAAAACCATTTTAGAATCTTATGAGAGGCTTGGGTTGGTTTTGCACTGTTCCACACTTTAATGTGGGCCTGAAGTGGGAAGGTGTCTGAGTTGAGGCCTGGGGGGTGGGTTGATTGGGTCTTAGACCATCCAGTTCCTTTCAAATGATTGTTTTGGGCTTTGTTCATAAAGCCCATAAAACAGTCAATGGACCGACCTTACCGACGCAGTTGAGGNTACCTGTTGTGTCGTATTCTTTTCATTTTCAACCATTTTAAAATCCAGTTCAAAAAAAAAAAAAAACCATTTTAGAATCTTATGAGAGGCTTGGGTTGGTTTTGCACTGTTCCACACTTTAATGTGGGCCTAAAGTGGGAAGGTGTCTGAGTTGAGGCCTGGGGGGTGGGTTGATTGGGTCTTAGACCATCCAGTTCAGTTCAAATGATTGTTTTGGGCTTTGTTCATAAAGCCCATAAAACAGTCAATGGTCCGACCTTACCGACGCAGTTGAGGCCCACACGTATAAAAACTCTGTGTGCGTTCTACGCATTCCGTGAACGTTTGAAGCTCTTCAGTTTTAGTCACAGCACGAGGATCCCCCCCCCCCCCCCCCCCCTGACATCTCTTCTTCCCTGTCTTTGTTCAGCTCAGCTCGCATAATCGTCGGAATCCGAAAATGTTGGCTCGTCTCGCGAACTGACGCCTGCTGGAGATCCGTCAAGCATTCCGTCAATTTCCTCGGGTTTTTTTTTTTTTTACCTATTTTCTTTGAATTTGTTCTTGTATTTTCTGTCTGAAATCGCAGTAACTTCTATTACATTTATTTGTTTTTCCGTGTCCTTCAGAAGTCTCGATCATTCTCCACTGCTCTGAACTACTTAAGTTCGAACTAATCGCGTCAATAAATACATTTGATCAATCCAATGCTTCTATATATTAATCTCTATATATTTGGATAATTTTATTACTGTGGAAGAGTGTTTGTGCAGCACATTGATATGCCAGATAACAACCCGGACCTTCCGTGGGAGTTCAGCGATGGGAACAAAGAGAAGGTAAGTTATGCTTGCGACTTGATATTATCAATCAGCTTTGATTAGCCATACATGTATCTAGTCTGAACAAATGCATCAAGTCTTTGTAGTCTATGCTTTTGAGTCGATCTTTGTGGTATCTTCTTCACAGAGTTGCAGAGAGAATTTGGTGTGTACTCAATAACCATCTAACTTGTTCTAAATGGCAAGTTCACCTTACTTGGCCATTGATAGACTTCTTGAAAGGAATTTCAATTATCCAAAGGTAGCTCAAGTGGCAACAAAGACATGCTGGATTTAATAGAGACGTGGAAATTTAGACATGTTGAGTTCGAATCTAGATTGACTTTGAATCTTGACAACCACGAGGCTAGTCCCTATTACCGGTGTAGATGGTCAACTTTTGATTGGATTAGGAAGGTAATTAGTCGAGATGTGTGTTAGTTGGTCCGGACACCTTTAAAAAAAGAAATGAATTTCAATTATTTTGACTTTTCAAAATATCACATTTCAACTCATATCCTGTTACCCTACTTCCTAAATTCTTTAGCACCCCCTTCCCACAATTAGGAATACACATAGATTCTATTTTAAATAGCTATGATTGATACTAAGCATTAGTGGGTGAATGGAACAACTAATTTTTGATGACTTGTTTTGTGAATCAACCTGTGATTTCCTTTTTAAAGTTATTTCCTTCTTTGGTGGGCCATTATAAGGTCAGAGCTAACCAAACCCTGTCCGAACTTGATCATTTCATTCTGTAATGCACCCTTTCCATCATTTACCATTAAAATATATAAGACTTTGATACTTACATTATTTCAAGGCCAAGCTTTGTGTTTGAGACATCTTCCAAGTATCTGACCAGTTATAAAGTATCAAAACTATCATTAGATACCTAAATTAAACATCCAGTACTTACTTTACTTATGTAGACTGGTCGAATTTGAACTCAGTTGGACCTTTGCAACCTTGCCCGTAGGAAGAGATGCATAACTTTTATTCGTTAGGTATTAGGCTTTGAAAAAAAATATGGTAAATATGATTACGCTTTTATTCTGGGACAAGTTCCATATGCATGTAAACCGATATTGGCTTTATAGTCCCATGATTGCTTTGGGTTAAGAAGCACGAAAACTCTTAAAATGGTGACCATTTGTGTTGGGCACTGTTTTATCCANATAAAGTATCAAAACTATCATTAGATACCTAAATTAAACATCCAGTACTTACTTTACTTATGTAGACTGGTCGAATTTGAACTCAGTTGGACCTTTGCAACCTTGCCCGTAGGAAGAGATGCATAACTTTTATTCGTTAGGTATTAGGCTTTGAAAAAAAAATATGGTAAATATGATTAGGCTTTTATTCTGGGACAAGTTCCATATGCATGTAAACCGATATTGGCTTTATAGTCCCATGATTGCTTTGGGTTAAGAAGCACGGAAACTCTTAAAATGGTGACCATTTGTGTTGGGCACTGTTTTATCCAAAGATCAAATTTTAATATTGGACACGTGACACTCCGTTGGTGACTTGTTCGACAGTTTTTTAGGTCATGTCTACTACTAAAATATAAACATACAAAAATATGTAATTAACAAAGCTTAAAATTTTCATGGATGACTATCTATGTTTGCTACACATTGTCGATAAAATAATTGATGATTAATGATTGGTATCATCCTTAAAAAATTGACTATAGTTGACTGGACATAGGATCTACTTGCCATGAGTATTGTATTTCTTGTGAATAGTTTGATAATTTGAAGACCTCTCTTTCCAGAGTCTGCTGGGTAGATTTAGTTATTTCTCTTGCATTGAATGTGTTTGCCTTTGTGAGTCATTATTGCTTAGCATATTATACTAAATTCCCTCCCCCAGAATGAGTTGATTTAGATTTTGTCATTTTCTGAGTGTAATTTATCCCGACAGCTGTTGTCAAAAGATATTCATCCCCAATTTCCTTGTCATGCTGTAAAGATGATTTTCCTGCAGTCTAGAAAAGGAAGTTCAACTGTAGTTAATTGTTGTGGTTGCATGTCTTATTGAATGGAGCTGCAACTAATTCAACCATAAGCACAATTTTCATCATGATTGGATTACTCACCAATCTAATATCCCCCACGAATTCTAATTTTATCATGGGTTTACTCTATGCATAGGTGAAGGAAATATTATCTCACTATTCATCAAAGTACAAGCAATCTGCAGTCATTCCTCTGCTAGATCTTGCACAACAACAACATCAAGGGTGGCTTCCTGTTTCAGCAATGAATGCTGTATGTTGACATTAACTCATGATTAATTCCTCAAGAATTTTTGACGTGTGTGAAAAGGTTCATACATGTAGCAAGAATGCCATACATATGATTTCATGGATGAGATTGATGTGCTTTGTATATGACACTGAAAAGTTATCTGAGTACTAGAATGTTATCGGTGTGGTTCATGTGACAATGCTTCTCCCATAGTTGAGGTGTAAATCTGATGCTTCTTCCATGGTTGAGGTGTAAATATGATGCTTATTGTTTTGTTTGTTGCTTGTACTTGCCGTGCTGATGCTGGAAAAGAAAATCCAGGTTGCAGTCGTCAAATTGGCATGTAAGAGGACCTGCTGTTCACTTGAGGATAATCTATATGTGATTCACAGTAATTTGGTCCAAATTGGATGTCTCAAAATTATTTTATAGATATGTTGAGCTACAATCGGAGTCCAGTCAATTTCAGTGTTCTCTCTTACAGCCAACCTGCATTTTGCCCACCAGAATGAACTTTTGATGATTTTTGTGAAGATCTAACAAGTGATTCTTATGCTGCTTCCCATAAGGTATTTGCACATCTGTCGGCATTAGTTTTATCCTTGTCTTGATGCATTGGAGATGTCTTGAATTAATTGTCTTTTTTAACTTGTAAGACAACTTTTTAACACACCTATATTATTTCACTGAATATGCATGATGACTAGTTTTGCCATGCACGAATAGAAAGGTTTGAACCTTAAAGTAATCTTTTACTATGTTCAAGAAATCATCAATGAAAGTCAGGAAATTGTGCAATACCCATTCCCCCAAAAAAAAAAAGAATAGAGAAAGGAAATAGTGAAATATTCAATGTTTCCATGTACACTTGATGATCAGTGTGATAGTCAAGCTTTAGTTGCATCCCATTGGTTTACTTATATATTGGCTGATCTTCTGTTGCTGGGTAGGGGTGGGACGGTATAATAGTGAAATATTCAAATCTTATGTCCCTTGTTAGTTTATACTAAGACATTTATTTTTCTGTTTATCTGAGGGTGGCTAAGGTTATAGAAGTTGCTCCTATCCGTGTATACGAGGATGCGACATTCTATTCAATGTTCAACCGATCGAAGTGAAGAAGTGTCTAATGTGTGTGTGTATATATATATATAGCCAATGTATGACAGTTGATTTGGCATATAAGTCCTCTTATTGCAGGTTGGAAAGTACCACCTATTGGTTTGTGGCACAATGCCTTGTATAATACGTGGCTCAAGGGAAATTGAAGATGCACTACTAAAGCACTTAGGAGTGAAGTGCAGTGGTATGCCTTGACCAACACATTCATAGTCTTTTCATCAATTTTGTTAGTGGATGTAAATTCCATGCTGAATTAATGTCTTTTGCCCACAATTTACAGAAGTAACAAAGGATGGCTTGTTTTCTGACTAGATTGGCCCCCTTTATTTATAAAAGATCTTTAAGACCTGTTGGCTTGTCTAGTGCTGAGAATTGAGATGGCAATAGAAGGAAAAAAAAGACCGTGATTATCTTCATCCATTTTACTTCATTTACAATTTTAGACATGACAAATATGTATGCAACTGGTATGGCTTCCCTCCATTTGTTGCCCATCTTTTGATAGATCGCTCTACCATGGAATTTCATATAGCATTAATACGTGTATTGAGAAGCTTTTCACCATTTTGAGATTGTTTGACTGGTTGCAAACAAACTTATTCTCAATGAACAATGCCCTTTGCAATTTAACTTCTTGGTTACAGGGATGTTGTATAAATGCCCCTATGATAACAGTAGTTGATTACTCCGATGGATCTGAAGGATATACCTACAATTACGATGTGAGTACTTTAATACCCCTTATATTTTGTACAATTTAGTGCTTTTCACATCAAATCAGCCAGCTTTTTGGAACTTATATCGGTAAGGCAAATGGACGGGTGATATGGAATATATACGTGCCTTGTTTGATTTACACTTTACATTTGCAGCGTGGCACCCAGAACCCAAAGCACATCAATTCCGGTCCAGAAGGAGGGAATACTACATTGTTAGGCGAGCCAAAGGCTCCTCCATGTCGGGATCTGGATGCATGCTGAAGTTCAATTTCAGCAGCGGTATCTCTAATAACGTGAAGCTCGAACTAACAAGCATCCATGGGCCGTAAGTTATTGTTAATCCTGATCAGTCCTCAATGTTTTTCTTCTTTTTTTCTGCATTTTTTTTTTTTTGGCTGCCAGTGCGGGTGCTGGTGGATTTGGTTTTTTCATTTAAGCTCATCTCCTCCAAAGTTGTCAGTTACTAATGTAAATTGCATCACCAGAAGCTAGCAGTTGACATCATGAACTCTCTGATTAAACTGAATATGGTAGTGTCATAAACACTTCTGAGTTCTGAGCCTCAACAGTAAGATGAACCAAGATCGCTACTACACGTACACTGGTAAATCTTGAGGTCAGAAAAACTGTAAAAATTGTACAAGAGAAGATTACACTTCAGAATGACTTGCCGTCTCACCTGACCTGTGTCCAATGATTTCTCTCCTCCAATTATGATTGAGAGCTGAAGAAGTCAAATCTCCTTTTTGGAAATCAAATGCACTAACCAACCCATTATTGAGGCAAAGTGGTAACAATTGATTTCTCCTGCACTACTGAGTCCAGCTTTTTAGGATAGCTAACCATTATCCATTCAAACTCTGCATTCCATNTCAAATCTCCTTTTTGGAAATCAAATGCACTAACCAACCCATTATTGAGGCAAAGTGATAACAATTGATTTCTCCTGCACTACTGAGTCCAGCTTTTTAGGATAGCTAACCATTATCCATTCTAACTCTGCATTCCAANGAAGTCAAATCTCCTTTTTGGAAATCAAATGCACTAACCAACCCATTATTGAGGCAAAGTGGTAACAATTGATTTCTCCTGCACTACTGAGTCCAGCTTTTTAGGATAGCTAACCATTATCCATTCAAACTCTGCATTCCATATGCTCTAAAATACATTAAAATCACAAGCAATGTTATTAAAACTAATTTGGAGACGTAATACACTCTCATCATTGGATTGATAGTGTCTCTCAACATTAGATTGAATCCCCAGCCAATCCAATGACACCAACATATTAAAACTCCAAATTAGGTTCCTAAATTCAATACAAATACTATAATCAAAATTACATAAATATATACAAGGCCACCCCTTTTAAATTTTAAAGACCCCACATCCCACTACACCCCAACTACAGAAGTGCTTCCATCATGAAGCACTACTCCCACCATTGACACAAAAACACAGCATATCAATAAAGCTTTGACAATTTCTCCTCTACTTGAATCTAGCAAAGACAAGAAGGGTGAGTCTGAATTATTTTAAGCATGACATCAAATCGTGTCTTGAATAAAGCTGGAAATAAAGGCAAAAGGTGGAAAGTGGCATCTGACTTTGATTGCAATCAAAAGAGAGAGAGAGAACTGGTTTTGTGGGGTTGGGCCAGGGCAATAAGAGTTGGGGACTCTGATGACTTACAGGATATATAAATGGAAACAGGGGATCTGTGGCCTTTCCAGGGTTTTATGAAGGGGGATTTGTTTCAGGCTTGACGAGTGTGGTTGTGTCTGGTGGTTGTGTGTGGTATATTGCCGAAGCAAGTGAGATGGGCATTATGCAGAGTGCCTTGGATTGGAGGAGCTGCATAGCAGCCCCAACATTTTCTTCCATGAGTTTAGCCACCTGTTTCTCTGTGCCATCATTCGACCACTTCTCCCAGGCTGGTTGGGATCTTCCACCTTCACTGACTTCCTCCTTTACAAAAAAAAAAAAAAACAGAGAGAGAGAGAGAGAGAGAATGCTTTAGAAAGAAAAAAAGAGTTATCAGGCAAAAAATTTAAATTCTTCTTTCTTACCTCCACTGATGATATTGGCATATCTGTCACAAGGGGTGCAACCGCACCAGCTCCACCAAGTCTACTCATGCTTAATACCTGAAACGGTGATGAATTGAACATAGAATATGAACAAGACATAACTCAGATATTAAAGAAAATAAAGTAAATAGTTTTGAGCATCACTCTTTCTCCAAGAAAGAGGGACCTCCTAAAGATGTCATCAAATACCCTCCATTGCATGGCAAAGACATTATTCCAAAAATTGATTATTTTAAACCTTTCTGGTACTCTTTATCACAGTGGTCTCCCTTGGGCAAAAACTGTAGTCCATTTCAAGGTCTATGATGAAGTGAAGTAGTAGTTCATGAGTCACAAAATCCAAGTACTAATAGTGCAGTTAAACATGGGATTTCCCACATTGGGCCTCAACATAAAACTTCAATGACGTATACCAGGGACCTAACAATTATGATTCTCGTTGAAAATAAAAACAGTAGAAAATAAATAATGGCCCCAAAGAAAAGAATCTCATCTGCAGTAATCATTAGACAATAATCAATAATCAAAATTGAACCCCGCCATTGATTCAATGGCTGTAAACAAAACGGAAATAGTGATTTAGAGAAAATAGGAGCAGCCTGAGATTAGAAAGGTGCGGCATCAATCAGGCAACTTGTAGGCTTTTTGTTTCTTTTGGGTTTATTTTCAATGGTACTCTGACGAGATGTGCAACTGTATAAATTGGGAAATAATGTTTATATGTAAAGAAACCAATATTTCTTTACGTCTAGATCATATATTGTCTACAAAACGACAAGAACCAGAAGATATAGATCCATCACGAACTTGAATTATAATTGAGTAGCCAGAAAATAGAATATTAAAACTCACAAAGAACATTAGGTTACTCTACCTTCACTTGAAGCCTCAGGAACTTCACATAGTCTACAATCTCATCAAGCATTGCAGCTCTATCACTCTGTATAAGAAAGAATATTATAGCATAGCCATCTGGGGGAAAAAAGCTATCTGAATATTGAGCTTCACATAAGAATAATAATAATAGTACTAAAGAATAACAAATTATTCAACATCCTCNAGCTCTATCACTCTGTATAAGAAAGAATATTATAGCATAGCCATCTGGGGGAAAAAAAGCTATCTGAATATTGAGCTTCACATAAGAATAATAATAATAGTACTAAAGAATAACAAATTATTCAACATCCTCGATGGAATTAATAAGATTAGATTTGGAAACCCAAAAACATAATAATTTTATGATTACTGACAATGTATATGATAAAAAACAAGCACCGTCGTAATACCAAGTGCATCTTGTGTCAAATTATATGAGTGAGTAGGCACTGACCTTATTGACACTAGGAACCAGTTCTTGCAATGCCCTAATTCGTTCTGCTATTCTTTCTCTACGCAACTGTTCCACAAGAAGAAAACAAAGGGTGATGTGAATGTACGATAACAACTAGAGAAAAATAAAAAACATGCTGCAGAAGCACAAGTTTGCATAGTCCCAAGCTAGTATTTCAAAATATAAAATTACTTATTGTTCTAACATACAGCTACCAGAAAATGACATCCTAACATGCCCATATGTTTGGTGTTTAATAAAACAAAACAAGGAAACAAGTGTTTGTCCACAGGTTCCTTAAAAAATTTCAGTTGTTAAAAAAATGAACATCTTGACTTAAAACAGTGGGGAAGGTGGGACAACCCAAAGTACTGGCCTTATTTCTTTGTTCTAAAACCAATGATTCATTAGAAGACCTTCATAGATCAGGAAAAAAAAAATTTATCTAGTAACAAACCAATCAAAGATTTTCTTTCTTTCCCCTTTTTTTTTTTTTTTTTTTTTTTTTTGAAATCCTATAAGCAATCTAATGACAACTCCCAATAAAGACCACCAATCATCTATTACACAAAAGATCTCCAAACCCATTTTTCCCATACGCTGTAAGGAGAGTCAAGGCTGTTGGTCACAGCTATACACAAATTCTGTAGTTTGGATGTGGTTGAATAAGATACCAACAGTTGCATATACCCGACAAACTTTATATAATGTGTTTTCTAGGACACGTTAAGCCAAGCTTACTCGTTCAGCAATGCTGTGTGGATCCGTAGCCTGTCCTCGTCTTGCCCGCACCCTGGGACGCATTGCAGGCGGATGCGGCATTGCAGGTACTGGGCTAGGCATAGGCTGGCCATGAAAACCCTACAAAAAGATTGTGATTCAGCAATCAAAGATGATAGCTACTGTAAAAGGAGTGATGACTTGATCCAGGACAGAAAATAAAGATGCTAGTAATTTTATGGCTGGTAAGGGGTAACAGAGCAAAAGCAGACTCAACAAATGAACATGACATTGCAACAAGTAATACCTACATAAGTTTAAATACTTTGTTTAAGAAATGTGATCCTCCTTATTATTGTTCTGTAGTCTCTCCTTTAGAGTTGCAGTAGGCACATATGTCAAAGGCTAAAAAGCAGGGGACCAGCGAGTAAATTAAGCCATTTTGCCCTAGTTGACACCCTTCCTCCGATGGACGTATTTGGTCTCAGAATCATATAGGATTTGGTAACTTCAAGTGGTACCCAAAAATCATCCAATTAATACTATTGGCTGGTGTCTTTTGTATTCATTTACTTCTCTCAACTCATCTAATCAAACTTGCTGATAAGTCCACCTCTGACTCAAAATACAATACTGATTGCTGAAACAAAACAACAAATCTCTCTACCAGCACAAACATACACACCAATACCGACAATCCACATCTACATATGCCAGAGACAAGACCACTTTAACAAAAAGATTCCTATGCCCCTAACCGTGACCAAGAAAACAAANTACCGACAATCCACATCTACATATGCCAGAGACAAGACCACTTAAACAAAAAGATTCCTATGCCCCTAACCGTGACGAAGAAAACAAAAGAACCCAAAAAGTCGACTACTATTTTTATCTTAATTAGCGCTTTTTTTTTTTTTTGAAGCTATGGGGTAAAGGGTGTATGTTAGGGGAAGCAATGAGTGAAGATTCCCCTGCAGAGAGCCGTATGAGGGGAGACCTTCACCCATCACAACTGAAATTCAAAGGTGAGAATTTCCCTCAGCAACCAAAGATATGTCTACAATTGGAAAAAAATAAAAAAACTCTCAGACACTTACCGGTTTCAAAGAAGAAACTCTGCTATCAACAACGTCGTCGCGAAATCTTTTCCCACTCCCAGAAGCCTCGTCCATCTTCACAAAGCCGCCTTTTCCTTGTTCCAAACTCAACCCTAAGGGAAACACTCCTCCATGAAACCCACCACCACTACCACCAACTCCAACGCCGCCAAGATGAGCCGAGCCGTCGCCGGAGCTCAGCTGGAGCATCATCGGAGCAGCAGTTCCCGCCAAATTAGTGTCGGAAGCAGCGTAAGATGGAAACCCCAAGATTTGTTCCAAGAAGTCGTCGGATGAGCCGTCCGTCTGATTGTTAGCCATGGCTGTAACTCGACCGAGTCGAACTCTTATGGATCGGTGAGTTAGGGTTTCCAAAGAGCATCGACAGGTGAAAATTCTAGTATTTTAAAAGAAAGGGAAAGCGAGTTGCGTATATATACGCAAATTCTATTCAGAGAGAGAGAGAGAGAGTTCTTTTGGTTAATTCTACTTTCAACTGCGTACTGAGAGCGAGGAAGAAAGAGAGGAGCGAATGGAGTCGAAAAGGCGGACTGGCTCTTTCTGCTTAAAAAGAGGATACGTTTTCGAAAAGTCCTGCTTTTTCTCAAACTTTACAAATCTATCCCTCTTTTATTTTAGAGTAATTTTTTATAAATTTAAAAATTAAATTTGATAATCACAATTATTATATAGCCAGTGAATCTTAATATTTATTGGGATCCATAATAAAATCGATGATTATAATTATCAAGTCTAATTTTTAAATCTACATAATATTACTCTTTATTTTAGGAAAAATTTAATCTATATTTCTCCAATTAGTTTATACTTTCAAATCAATAACACCATTTTAATGATACTCTCTTCGTTTCTAAATATCTTTTGTTTAAAGTTTTTGCACAGAGATTAAGGAAGCTATTAAATAGCTTTAATATGAGAAAAAAAATAATTACACAAAACTAAAATACTCTTATTTAATACGTATTAGGAAAGAAAAGAATATGAAAGACACTTAACTTTCACCTAATCTAATGCATTAAAAAGTTAAGGGTAAATTTAGAAGAAAAAATATTAATTATACTTTGGTTTCGTTAAACGACAAATATTATGGAACAAAAAAAATTGTGTAAAACGACAGATATTTAAGAACGGATAGAGTAAATTTTTTTCTCTACTAATAGATAAAATTATAATTTAACTAAATATTTTGTAAAAATGTCTACATTATCGTTTGTTATGTAAATAGCTAAAATGTCCTCATTACTTTCTCCATTATATATGTCCTAGTCAACCAACAAGCATGATTTTCTATTATTATATCATCCTAATAAATTTTTATCATTTTAAAACGTTGCAAGATAACGTTGTTGTAATATTAATTATCATATTATCACTCATTTGGTTGCATAAGCAAGTTTTTTTCATTTTTATGGTTAAAAATAATTTTTCTATAATAAAAATTATGATCGATAAAATTACTATCGAAATCTCATCTATTTCTAACTCTTTGCCATCATTTGTCGACTACAGCGTCACTCGACCACTCTTCAATCTTCACACATCAACCTTCATATATAAAATTTAAATATTAGTTGATAAAATTTAATATTAATTGAATAAATTTGGTCTTAATTTTATAAATTTATATATTAATTTAATATT